AGGGAGCGCCACCGAAGAAGGTACTCACAATTGCGGCACTCACAACTGCATATGGTTGGGTCTTTCGCCAGGATAATTCCCGACGCCGTAAGCCCTTTCTCGCTATGCCACTTTCAATGCCATGTAGTGCCATGATGTTGACTTGCTTCGTTTTGTTCTGAGCCAGTCCGATCTTCAGCAGCTGTTCGTCCATGAGCTCGTCGCTCTCCTGCAACTTGCCTCGCAATTTATCCAGGTTAACCTTCTCTTCTGAAGCTGGCCGATGCTTCTCTTTGTTGACATCGTCAGCGTACAAGTGCAGACTGGAATCCACTTCGTGTCGCGTGATCGGGCACTTCACCACCAACCTTTTATCTGCGTCGTCTTTGTCTCGCCACTGCGTCGTCCCAGGCTCTATGGCATGGGTAATGGCGCGGGGGAAGCAGAGCACCATGAACGGATCCCCCATGAGGCTTTCCTCCACCGGTCAGAAATGGAGCATGCCTTCAGCCGTTGGTAGTTGCGCTTGCGCTCGCCGAGTGCGTCGACGCGCCAGTCGTAGATCTTTGTCCCTTACCAAAGCCGCAGCCGCCAACTCCATATACTGCCAGCCCACCGATGGAAAAGCGTTGGTCATGTCCTTGAATCTGTCAATATATGAGCATTTCAATTGTCGTAGGGTGCACCCCGTAATCATTGATGCCATGATTGCCGTTTCTCTGTGCCTCTCTTGAGCATATCCGCGATTTTCAGCAGGGGGAGGTGCTGGGCGGCGTGCTTTGATACAGTTTACAAAGAAACTTTTACCCAGGGCACGGAGGATGCGTAAAAGACGCCGCCCTTTAGGCCCAGGTTGCTCGTTTTTCCCAACCATCCTGTGGTGTTGGGTCCTCGTTTTGAAGAGACGGTGCCCCGCGTCTCCTTCCTCTCCTCCTCCGCCTCATCTCCCCTCTTATCATCCTCATCGTCATCATCATCATCATCGTCATCATCATGGCACACCCCTCGCACGTTTCGTGGCCCCATAGGGAGTTCCACCTAAGGTCCACCTGGCGCAGCTCGCATGGCGCCACCGCCCCTTTTTGGCACACCCCTCACACGTTTCGTGGCCCCATAGGGAGCTCCACCTAAGGTTCAAGTGGCGCAGCTCGCATGGCGCCACCGCCCCATTTTGGCACACCCCTCACACGTTTCGTGGCCCCTTCAGGGAGCTCCACCTAAGGTCCAATCGCATGGCGCCACCGCCCCATTTTGACACACCCCTCACACGTTTCGTGGCCCCTCAGGGAGCTCATTTTGGCACACCCCTCACACGCTTCGTGGCCCCATAGGGAGCTCCACCTAAGGTCCACGTGGCGCAGCTCGCATGGCGCCACCGTCCCTTGTTGGCACACCCCTCACACGTTTCGTGGCCCCATGTGAAAGAATCGTTGGGGTGGGTTTTCACTTTGGGGAGAATCGAAAACTGTAAAGGATGGCTATGGATTATTTTAGAAAGGTAAGGAAGTGAAAGCCTCCACCTAAGGTCCACGTGGCGCAGCTCGCATGGCGCCACCGCCCTTTTTTGGCACACCCCTCACACGTTTCGTGGCCCCATAGGGAGCTCCATTTACAGTCCAAGCGGCGCAGCTCGCATGGCGCCACCGCCCCATTTTGGCACACCCCTCACACGTTTCGTGGCCCCTCAGGGAGCTCCACCTGAGGTCCAAGTGGCGCAGCTCGCATGGCGCCACCGCTCCTTTTTGGCACACCCCTCACACGTTTCGTGGCCCCTCAGGGAGCTGCACCTAAGGTCCCAGTGGCGCAGCTCGCATGGCGCCACCGCCCCCATTTTGCACACCCTACACACGTTTCGTGCCCCTCAGGGAGCTCATTTGGCACAACCCTTTCACACGCGTCGTTGTCCCCATAGGGAGCTGCACTGAAGGGGTCACAGTGGACGCAGCTCGCCATTGGCGCCACCGTCCTTTTTTTGGCACACCCCTCACACGTTTCGTGGCCCCTCAGGGACTCCATCTGAGGTCCAAGTGGCGCATCTCGCATGGCGCCACGCTCCTTTTTGGCACACCCCTCACACTTTCGTGGCCCCTCAGTGGGCCCCACATCTAGGTCCAAGTAGCGCAGCTCCGCATGGCGCCCCGCTCCCTTTTTGCGCACACCTCACACGTTATCGTGGCCCCTTCAGGGAGTTGCACCTAAGGTCCCAGTTGGTGCATTCGCATGGACACCCTTCACACTTTTTCGTGGCCTGCCCCAGCAGGGAGCTCATCCTCGCATCTCGAGGAACTTCGCGCGTCGCTGGGACCCCTCCGCGGCGACCTGCGCGCGTCGCGGGGACTCCGCGCTGCTCTGCGCCCGCAGCTTTGGATTTTGGGAGCGCGCAGGCAAAGAGGGGGGAAAAGAAGGGGCGGAAGCGGGTGCGATCCCCGTGAGGGGCGTGCCGACATGGGCGTCGCGGCGCGCGGGCGCTGCCGTCGGGGTCCCCGCGGAAGCTGCCTGCGGCGGCCACGCCCAGTGTCACGAGTGTTCGGACAGGCGTGCTCGAGCAATTCACATTCATATACATTTACACTAGGCGTAGCCAAGATCGCATTCATGCAAATATACTCACTCCCACGCAGACCCATTCACACTCAGACTCTCTCGCGCTCTGGCTCACCCGCGTTCATTCTTTCGTAATCTGACCTATCGTATTCCTTTGCGTTGTGTACCCCGCCATATTTCGGCATACCCCTCATGCGGTTCGTGGCCCCATAGGGAGCGCCACCGAAGAAGGTACTCACAATTGCGGCACTCACAACTGCATATGGTTGGGTCTTTCGCCAGGATAATTTTCTTGCCGCGTAGCACTCAGAAACATGCCAGTTCAGCGGAGTGATCTGGTGATATTTCATATTGTAGAAAGCCACGTGCAGGCGCGCCTCGATGTAGCTGTTGTCCGTGTACTGCAGGTCGTAGCCAACTCCCTTTGAAAAGCACCTCTGTGGGTGAAGTATCATCCAAAAAAGCTCAGCGGGTGGAGAGCCAGCAGGGCGCGCGTTCCTCTTCGGAGTCTGAACCAGATACCATCTGAGCCTCCTGATATCTCCCCGACTTTCAAGAAAAGCACCGGTTGCATGATCATCTTGAAACTCAGGCAGCCCGCGCCTTCTGCCATAACTTCCCAATGGTTCGGCATATTGGGCAACTCATTTGGAATTTCTTCACAATCAAGCTCATGCTCCTGTACTTGTGGGTTAGATGCAATCCCCACTGCGCTCATTCCTCCGTCTTCTCCCGCCAACTTGAGCGCGTCCATCCGCTCCTGCTTTGTAGGGTTCGCCAGAGGCAGAGCTCGAAGGTCACGTCGTTTTGTGCCCGTCCTATTGTTCCCCAGTCTGATCGTCGCCCGGTACGAATGAGCAAATCGCCTAGCCTCCCAGTGTTGGTTGATCTCGTCCTCTATGGCTGCTCTTGTCTGCTGTCGTGCCCAAGCTCTCACTCTCCCGCATTCCTCTGAAATCGCTTGGAGTTGCGCTTCGACCTCTTCGAGTGTAGCGTCAGATGCCCACGTAGCTTCTCGAAGATTTCTCCTCTGTCGCAAGACCGCCAAACGGGCCTTCTTGAGAGCTTTGTAATATTCATCAACAAAGTGCGGCGTGAGGAAGTGGTCCAGCCCTATCTTGACGATGCGCTGTTCCAATAAGCGAAAATGGCGTTGGGTGTAATCTGTGAGCCAGCTGGACCCACTCCTCCATACGGTTACGCAAAAAATCATTGAGCTGTGTCAGATACTCGTGCTTGTGATCTCCGTGCCAGAGAA